TATTATTAATTTCTTAAATATGGCGAGAATGCTAATCAATACACTGTATATGTGGAACACCTTTTTCCGACCATTGCTAATTAACCTATGTCGGTGCATTGCCGATTAGTATAAAATGTGTGTCATATATGGTTTTGTCGAACGACTAAGTTGGTTGGCGAATGATTTTCAAATATCATAAATTATGAATATTTTATGTTAAAGTCACCCGATTAAAAAAAATCTCTGAAACTATACTATATTTGTCACATCGGATTCTACTCTTGCATTTGTAAAGTTTAAACTATAGGAATCTGGAAGAAAAAGGGCATCTCACAAAAATTGGGGTTTATTTACACTGTGAAACTTATGTAGCGTAAATTGGATTGTTCTGTGGTAAATTAAAAATAAGATACTTATTTCAATTAATAATTTTTGTAACTAGAGTGAAACATGGTTTCCATTCATATTTAGGGCGTCTTCAAATTAGACGCTTATAGAGGCGCTGCAGTAGCGCCAATGTGGCACTACTGATTTTCATGCAGTTATAACGCAACTATCGGGACGCGCGCGCTACTTTGCCTCCGTGGCCGAACGGTCACCATACCGGACTGCCACGCAGAGAGTCCCTGGCTCGATTCCCGGGCTGGGAGAAATATTTGTATGGCCTACATTTATTTCTCTCGTGAGTTTGGGTGTAATTTGTGGTTGTCTATGTGTGTGTCCATGGCAGCCGCGACACAGGGTTTCCCTAGTGCGGGGCTATGTTGAGTGTGTAGCGTAGTAGTTATTATTATTACTTTTGCAGTCACAATTAGTGAATTAAAAATTACTGAAGCGCTTCTACAAGCGTCTGATTTGAAGGATGTTGATGACTTTACCATCTCAATCAGCCGTAATCATGGGACCTGTAAAAGGCCCGAAATGTTGGTTTGTTTGAAAAACAAATCGTCTGCTTAAAGGTAAAACCACATAAGTGATATTCCACAAATCCATAAGAATTCTCCAAATTATGTACCTGTTGTAAGAAAATCACCATCTTTCTGCAAATAAAACCACCACAGTTTCACCTGCAGAAAGATAGTGGATTTTCTTACCAAACTTACATAAAGAGTTTTTGCAGAAAATGTCACTTATGTGGTTTTACCTTTAAATAGACGAAATAATGTGCTCGATTTAGAGCCGAAAACAATAATTTCCGAATTAATACTAACTGTTAATTATTAATTATTTTTCAGTTCAAGCATACTTCGCAATTGTTGTTAATTCTTACTACTTTTGAAGCATAATTATTATTATTTATATAATAAAGCTCCTGTCTTGTGCGTCAAATTTTAATCATCAGAGCAATCCGTTGTAATAAATGACTTTGTCATCGAATCGTGTACTATAATCACGAAATTCCGCTGCCACGATTTAATATTAATTTGTATTTATTATATTATTATTTGTTATATTCAAAATTGTATTTAATAAATAATAAATGGAACATTTTTGTTATATATTTCAATTTTATGCATTCAGGTATGGGAGCTAGAAACAATTTTCTATTTTAATTTCATTTACTGGTTACAATTAAAATTCGTCAAAAACAAGTGCACGAACAACCACACATGATCCAAAACAAAGACTTATGTATATCTAGATAGACGCCGCAAGTGTACGTACTTCGCGTACCCAAAGTAAGTGAAATTCACTTACTTTGCGGCTGCTACACTTCAGAACGCGCCGAGCACCATAGCTGTGGGTAAACGGGTAAACAGGGATGTTTACTTCCATGGGCAAGTGATTTAGTAATCAGAAAATTCGTTTTAAAAATTATATTTTGGTTTTGTATGAATTTCGAGAAAACAAATATGCTACACATTGTATGCTTCATGATTTGTAATACATTGCGGCTTTGACTTGGTGCGATATGTTTGTGATCCTTTGTTAATACTCCATGAATATAGAACGAATTCACTTTTGTATAATGTGTCCAGTTTGGTGGTACGGCCGCTTGTACATTTCTTTGGCTAAATTTAACATAGTGATGTTTTTGATGAATTTAGTGATTTGTACATTAACATAAACATAAAAGGGCGAGAATTATTATGAGCTTAGCAATATTATAAGAATATTCTATAACTCTTTTTTTTTTAATAACATCAAGTGACGGGACGAACAAGTCGTGCGCCTGATGGGAAGCAACACGCCTGTCCATAACAGTTACAGTGCCACTCAGAGCTTTAAATTGCCAAGCTCTAAGGGGAACTACCACTGCGTCCATCACCCTAGACATAAGTTGACAAGTCCCGTGTGCCTGTAACTTCACCAGCACCCTTACCCTTCAAAACCGGAACACAGTAATGCTGACATTACTGCTTGGCGGCAGAAATAGGTAAGGTGGCAGTACTACCATGGATGAACTCTTTCACAAGGAGTTCTACTGCTGTTATAAGTCCTTGAGAAAGAGTTCTTTTGTTATAACGTTTAGTAACGTTTCGTTTTTTTTTTCAGTTTTGTAGTATCTATTATCAGTAGTATATGTAATTTCGATAATTTTTGTAGCACGTTGCCTCGAATGTCCGAATATAGTGAGCAAATAATTACATACATCGTCGGTTATGTAGTACGAGTAATACAAAAAAATATATAATGCAAAGAATTACCAGTGAGCGGTCTTTACCAAAACCGGGAGTTGGTCATACGTATGAGTAGTATGAGTTCGTTGCTTTCGAGGACGAAGGTGGTCTAGTTTATCCCACCTAAGATGTTATCCAAATATGCAGAGTAGCAGAGTTAGAAATAATAAACAAATCACAAAAAACTACACACGAGGCTGTCATTAAGCAAACCTCTTTTGATTAATAAGATTTTACCATATTTTGTCAGCAGTAACATTTTCATTTGTCTTGCCATTCACCAATTTGATCAATTACCAGCAGAAAACCACCCAAAAAATGTTTGAAATTCAATTAAACAAGATGGCCGCCATACAAATTTCGAAGCGTTCTATTTCGGAAACTATTAGAGATAGGTAGGAGGTGCTGGAAGGAATGTCATAGAGGATCAATAGTGGTCAACTGCACATGTAAAAAAATTCAAGATGGCGAATCCAAAATGGCGGCCGAAGAAAAACTTGCTTCGATGTGGTTGAAAATTGGCATCTTTGGGACATGTTTAGGAGTCCTTAATCATAATTTGGGGTCAAAATTTTTTTCGCCTTTTTTTAATATGGCTGCCAAATAAGTGCTTTTTTCGTTAAAAATAGCTGCCGAAAGAGACTCCCTTTCAGCTGAAAATTGGCATGTGGAGGCCTCTAGAAGTGCCAGATAATAATTGGTTTTTCGCCATTTTCAAATACCGGCTGTATTTGAAAATGGCGTTACCATACAAGCGTTTGTTGGCAATAGAAAAAAAATTGTTCTGATCCCTTTGAAAGTTGTCATGTGGAGTGCTAGGAGTGCTCTAGGAGTGCTTGATTATAGTTTGTGATCAATATTAGTGTATCACCATTTCTCAATATGGCTGCCATAGAAGTGTTTTTTGGCGGCAGGTGAAAATTTGATTTATTTTGATTGAAAATCGGCATAGAGACCCTATGGGTGTTTGTTATATGTTGAGTGTGTGCGTTATTATTATTATTATTATTAATTGTGAGATCTTGTACTCGTAATCTATACGGAGGCGTACCTCCGTATATAATTACCTCCATACGATGGCGTGCGGACGCTTCGGGCTTCGCCCTCCGCGGACCTCGGCCTGCGGCCTCGGCACTTAGGACTTTGTTTTAAAAAAAATTAAATAGGTCTTTAATGGCGGCCATATTTAAAAACTACAAAAATATTTAAGACCACTAATTATTATCAAACAATCTTAGAAATCTTTTCGTGCTCATTTTCAGTGCGAGCAAAGCAAGTTACATAAATAAATTACGGCTATATCGAAAAACAGCGGAACAAAATTTTTACCCGAAATTATGATGTCATTGCCATGTCATTTTCAGTCGAATTAGAAGAAACTGTATCTATCGCCAAAAAAGTTTGTATGGTAGCCATATTGCAAAATGGTGAAAAATAAATTTTAACCGCTAATTATTATTAAACACACATAAAGACCCCGACATGTCCATTTTCAACCGAATCAGCAAATTTTTATCTTTTTAACTTTTTTTTAACCCAGGCAGTTGACCAGTGTTACCCTCTATGACATTCCTTCGAGCACCTCCTACCTATCTCTAATAGTTTTCGTGATAGGAGGCTTTGAAATTTGTATCGCGGCCATCTTGTTTATTTGAATTTCGAACATTTTTTACTTCCCGCGGAAATTGACCAGGGTGTATCTCATAAAAATGCACAAAAATCTCCCCCATGTATTATAGTTTTTGCAGGCCGTTGATCACTCTTTCATATTTTCCATATTCAGGCCCTCTCATATTTGATTCTTTACTTTGGAGCCTATCCGCGTACAACGGTATAAATATTTTTTTCCACCATATCGGGAAGTGTGCGTTCTATTTCTATCAGTGAGTAAGAACTTGTTGCTTTATATATATTATAATGATGATGATGATGATGATGATGATGATGATGATGATGATGATGACGACGACGACGACGACGACGACGACGATGAGGATAATAACGATAATAAATCTATTTCTAAAGAAAAAAGTCACAAGAATTCCTTGCCTGCAGACCGATGCTGCAGACATATTCCCTGAACGCTATAACTTGGGCCTTTTCAAGGCAATATTTAAATGTGCCTGCTCCATTGTTGACCTCATTGTCACTTTCCACCAGGTGAGTTTGAGGTTAAATGCACACGTGACCTGCCTCCGTGGCCGAACGCTTACCATGCTGGTTTGCCACGCAGAGGTCCCAGGTTTGATTCCCGGCCCGGGAGAAACATTTGTATGGCATACATTTATTTCTCTTGTAAGTTTGGGTGTAATTTGTTGTTGTCTATGTGTTTACTGATGCTATGAGTGTGGGCGTTATTATTATATTACTTAAATACAAAAAGAAGCCTTCACTTACCTAGTGGTAGCGTTAAACAGCTGCGGTACAAAGCAAAGATCAGCCATAGTGAGTTGGTCACCGACGCAAAATTCGCCTGCTGTTTTCTTCAGTAGCTCCTCAAGGGTCTGCAACCCACGTTCTGTGTGGTACAAGGCGAACTTCTGGAACTGTTGTTCCGTGTCGAATCGGGGACGGAGGCCTAGATTCTGGAGAGGCTGGATGCCTGATACTATAGTCTGTGAATTGGAGATTTCACGTTTTAAGTTTTTTTAAAAGTGCGGCGCGAGCGCATTGCGACTCCACGTGTAGATAATATTAGGTATGGCTACAGCAGCGTGGGTACTCGGTGGGTACTAAACATAATCATGCTTTTCTCGTGTTTCGTTCTACCGCTCCTATGTTGACAAACAGTCTAAAGGGGAGTCGATACTATTGTTAAAACTTTATTAATGTAGGAAAGTGAAAACTTTTAAAGAATAAGAAAATCTTGAAAATAGAACATCTCTGTTTAGTATTAGTATCAGTAGAGCTCCTTACCTATTAAATACCTAATCTATTCTCCCGCCAAGCAATAGGCTGCCTTTCCACCGGATGCGTTACGGACTCTTTTCAGCTATGCGCGGGTGTCATGTCACGGGTGGCGATGTGTCAGTGTCAGTTAGTATTAGTAGCAGTAGAGGCTCCTTGTGAGAGAGTTCGTCACCCACTGTACTATACTGAGTACTGCCACCTTACCTATTTCTGCTGTCAAACAGTAATGTCAGCATTACTGTGTCCCGGATACTGTTGAAATTACAGGCACATGGGACTTGTCAACTAATGTCTCAGGGTGACGGGCGCGGTGGTAGTGGTGGTAGCACCTCAGATCTTTGCAATTTGAAGCTCTGGGTGGTACTGTAACTGTTATGGACAGACGTGTAGCTTATCATCAGGCGCACGATTTGTTCGTCCCGTCACTTGATATTATAAAAAAAAATTCTTATTGTTACTTTTTAAATGTTTCATTTTTTTAGAAATTTTATTTTCAACTCACACTGGTGCTGGCTGTTTTTCAACTACAACGCTTGCCGACGCGCGTCATCGACTGACGACACTCGCTTTAGCGCGCCCGGATCATAGTGTGGTCGGCGTCAGACGCCTCACTGCGGTCAATCGACGCGCGTCGTCGCGCGAAACCGCTTGACTGCATCCAAGCGACGACGCGCGTCGACGCCCGTTTCCATATTTGCATAATACAAATTTGTACCTTAATAATGGGAAAATAGAGATGAATATACTATAGGCGAAAAACAAAAAGCGTCGCGACGCTTCGACTCTGCGCCAGTGTGAGTTGAGCCTTTGTACTTTATGTGATTCCTAAATGCGACAATTCGTTAATGGTATTTGATGACACATCTTTAAAAACAACTACGACTGTAATTAGTGCATGAATTTTCCTAAAATGTAAAAATAAATAAATATTTTAGTAGGTGATATAAATTGAATTATTACATGCTTCAAACCCAAGCAAGTATGCCCTCAGTTTTTTTTATAAGAAACGTATTTTTCTAAATTCCCAATGGCCATATAGCGCTAAATTTGAATGCGATATTTTCATTATAATTAATGTACACTGAGTGTTTAGGTGATCATAGGAATAAATTTGTCTGGGTCCGAATCACTTCATATATTATGTACATTTAGATGTACACGGGGCCTTACAAGATTGTTATAGCAGCACCTATCGTCAATTCCCCTGTCACGAAAGGAGATTATGGTAAATCATCTTTTTTGGATTATATGTGGTGTTTACCTCACAAATCGCCCTCATGTGGGTTTTCTGGAGTAGGTTAGCAGGCGTCAGGCTAGGTTCTGGACGTGTGTCCTCCAGGTATTGAAGGATGGCCATTGATTCCACCAGTGTTTCTCCATCTGTAAGATATCAGTCAGTTTAACTTTTTCCTAGGTATACGAGTAGATTATGTATATAGTTTTGCAAAAGTTTATAAGTTCATACGACGAAATATACTGAAAAGTGAATTGAGTTCCGTCGAGCAACAACAGATCTTGTACGGCCAGTGTAGCTCGACTTGGTGGGGGAACTTATTTTTATTTAAATTCTAGGTGTGTATAGATTAGGGATGTAGCTGACGTCTGCATCAGCATCCGCAACAGTAGATCATCCGCTTATTTTTTTAATATCAGCTTGCGTATCCGACATCCGAATCAATGGATGCAGAGTTTTTGTGCATACGGTTATTTGCAGGTCTAGATAAGATGGTTGAAAGCAGGGGGCCTACCACAACTGCTTAAAACAATATTAATTTAAACTTACATTGACTTTTCGTACCATGAAGTGCTTAAAGTAAGCTTATTATAATGTTAAAACTATGATGTTTTATTGGCAGCATTGTGACCATTCATTCACTCAGTTCCTACTATGACGCGACTTTAACAGTAAAGTAATATTGTTCTTATGTCAAATTTAGCAATCTTAAAATAGTTACACGGGTGCAATGGAAACAATATTATTTTCGAATTTATTGTCTAAATATTGATTTGTAATTATTAAAAATTGAGTTGAACTTATTTATTTACATATATCTCTTCAATATTTTGTTTATTTTTTTATTTTATAGTACATAGGAAATAATATACGGGATGTATAATTCGTGAAATTATGACAGCGACATCTATATGCTCCTTGGCGACACTAATGACAGTAGACTATAATTCCGAATTCACAACGTAACAATCAAGATTCAGCTTGTATTTATTTTTCTTCATTTTCATGAAAATTTCATTTTTTTCTTAATTTTTATTTTTCTTCATTTTTCCGCACTGTCATGCGGAAAAATAATTAAAAACAACGTAATTTTAAGAATTTCATTATTATCGAGTTCTTAGGTATGTTATAATTTCATTATTACATACTTTTCTTTTTTGGCAGTTAAAATTCTCTGAATATAAAGAATATTAAGTACTTTAACACTATACTACGATAGGACACAGTTCATATAGCGTTATTTCTTTCCTATTTTTAGTAAGTAATAGACAATATTGGGAAATCATTCGTTCTTTCAGTCACTTTAGCAATAATACATTACTTGATTGATTGATTTGTCGTGGTACGAATATAAGTAATATTATAATAACCTAACTATAAGCTTACATTGAAATAAGATTGTTTTTTGAAAGGTACATATATACCTGATTGGGTTGCCTGCACTACATGTTGTTGAATATCGAGAATTCAACAGCATGTAGTGCAGGCAACGACCTGTTTGTTTTGTAAATAAACATTATTGAGTTTATAGGTACTGTCTTAATTTAAATTAAATTATCATTACATTTATTGTAAAAAATATTCCACATGTCTGCAGATTTCAACGATGAAAAATTCTCATTCGCGTCCGCATCTGCAGGTGTCGTCATGTCTCACATCTGCGGCATCCCCAGTGTAGATATCATACGCGCAAATCCTTCTATAATTATAATCCCAACATAATTCATAATAAGCATAATTGTCAAACTATACGACCAAATAATATGCTGTAAAGAGAAAATTTTGACTCCAAAAAATCCTCTCACAACTTATATATTATATATATTTTTTTTAAATAAAGATATACTTAATGAGCACGTTAATACAACCTTATAATTTTTATTTCAATTTTATCGCAAAAAATTTTATTGCGTAAATATAAAAGCTAGGTATATAATGTCATTGACTTATTTGAAGACCCAGTAATTACTCACATATATTAGTATACTATTTTCACATTTATATCCAATCATTTGGTCAGGGCATGCACTTCGTTCGGATTTGTTCTCATTGATTAAACGACTGCTCTGGATTTTGTCTTTTTAGTTCACGGCCTCCGTGGTCGAATGGCTTGCATGCCGGTTTTCATGGTGTCACCATCTCTGAGGTTCCGGGTTCGATCCCCGACCGGCCCCGTGTAGAAAAACTAACTTCTCTATATTGTCTTGGGTGGGGGTGTTTGTGGTTTGTCTAATGTTTATGAATTATTCATTAAGTGAGTGTAGAACGTCATTTGGCCACAGATTCTGCTTCTACTTGGTCGGATTATATTTAACAGAGGAAATAATGACTTCATATGGTCGCCAAAAGCTAATTCGAGTGTAAGAAAATCGTGTAAATTGGCTCCGTGGACGTAACTACTCAGAAACTTATAATTTGTCACGCCCGAACGCGCTATTCAGTAAACCAAACACCTTCATTTTATTTACACTTACTATCGAAAGTTCGCCATCCCCCTTCCAAGCAAATATTACTACCCACACCTCCATAAATACACCTCCCCCATACAAACATAAGCACGCACACGCCTCTGTGGCCGAACGGTTACCATGCTGGACTGCCATGCAGAGATCCGGGTTCGATTCCCGGGCCGGGAGAAATATTTGTATGGCCTACATTTATTTCTCTCCTGAGTTTGGGTGTATTTTGTGGTTGTGTATGTGTGTAACCATGGTACCCGCTATACAGGGTTTCCCTAGTGTGGGACTATGAGCATACAGCGTTATTATAATTATTATTGTTATTCTTACATACATTTAGGTTATAAGTTATAACTTAAAGTAAAAATTTACGCAATTATAAAATATTTCTTTCCATTTTATAACCTGTTTTGTATTACACTGTACACTATTCTGCTACATAATCGAAATAAGATTCTTCATTATATTGAGTCACTGTCTCTTAAAATACAGTTTCTCTTGCTAATTGTTAGCTACCAAGTACCACAATTAAACAATGTCGTTTTTGTTATAATTAGAATTTTATAAATTATTGAAAGATAATTAATACATTCAGGCGTTACTTTGCGGAAGTCCTTGTTAATAAAAATGGAAGTAAATTAATTTGCTACACCGCGAACTCGTGCGAAATAGCTGCGGTTGTGTTGAATATTTTAACAAAAAATCTTAATTTTTTTTTATAATTATTAATACAAAGATCGAACACTCAAAAAAAATTCCTTCGACCCGGCCGGATTCAAACCGACATCTTCTAGCATACCGTGGCAGACGATATACCAACTAAACAACGGAACGAACCAGCGAACCTCACGAATTTTTCTATGGGCTTGTTGTCGTGTCTTTGCATTTGGTTTTTCAACGACTTTTAGTCGTAGCGCCATCTATGAGGGATCTATGAAAGTTTCATCACAATTTTTTTTAAATATCTTTTTAATAGTTTTTTTTATAATTAACTGCATGAAAAAATATTCAACACAAGCGCGGCTATTTTGCACGATTTAACCTTCACTGGGTTCGCGGAGTAGCAAATTAATTTAGTTTCATTTTTATTATTAAAAGAATAATAACACATACACTCATAGCCCCCCCGACTAGGGACACAAGACCGAGTTACCAGTCTTGTTACTTTACCAACAATAAATATATGAGGAGACTGATAGAAGATGGAATGGCGAAGGAGTTTTGTCAGGTAATCAATAAAAAGAGAAGATATCCATAATATTAACCTTAGAGCTAATTCCAAACTCATGGTACCACGATTTCGTTTAGTCAAGGTAAGCGACTTTTTATAGGGAACTGTATATTTTTAATACAATAACATTTCGGAGCATATGTATATTAAGATATCATTTCCTAAGTTTAAAAACGACATAACGAATGTTTTGATTGAAAAGTTATATTACAAAATTGAAGACTACGTTTTAGATAGATGTATGGAAAGACGACATGGCTCTAGATTCCACACAAATTTGATTCAAAGAGTATTCTATAGCATTTAAGTTTATTTGAAAAGAGCAATCACTAGTTCCTTGCACTTCTTTTCAGGGAAGTCAGCGAACTGAACGAGCAGTAGCTTAAATGTGACGTTTTCAAATGTAAATTTATTTTACCTATGGAATAAATGATTCTTTGACTTTGATTGAGGAGCGTAACAGGTTGAAATAGTCTCTGCCTACCCCGGTGGCAGAGAGGTGTGATGATATGTGTAAATTATATATGGAAAGTGACGATGATGGAGCATGCACATTGCACACCTAAATAACACCTATTCATTCTTCACGTATTCACTCTCGGGTTGATAATTATATCCAAGCCCAAGTTATAGCGTTCAGGGAATAAGTGTGCAAGCAGGAAATTCCAATTCATATTTATTCATCAAAGACTATTTTAGACACTTAGTCTATATTACATATTACGTAAAAACAGTGATAGTTTTGTTTCACATTCCAAGTACGTATACAAATGACTATCCAAAGTACGTCTAGTAAATTTCGTTCTATGCGCAGCCCGCATTAGACCTATCTTGAGCCTCAAGTGTATATTTATCTACCATATTGCTTTGATCAGTGTCCCGCAAACGCATCACAGACTACATGATCGCTTTCAGTGTCGGAGAGGGCTAGTCGAATAAGTTCGTTAAGGTGATATTCCGAGAAAATTACCAATTTTTGGTCTCACTGAAGTTGAATATAAATTTAAATTCAGGTGTTTCTTGTCTCTCTTTTTTAGTAGCAGTTAGAGCTCCTTCTAAAAGAGTTCGTACAGCTTATCTATTTCTGCCGCCAAGCAGTAGGTAATGCGAATATTACTGCGTTCCGATTTTGAGGGGTAAGCGACCACTTACACGACGCGAAAGTTTTCGCGCGGCCGCCACGAGGTGACCGCCCGGTCATCACGCCTTCACGTACATTAATGGCGAATCTGAATTCTATTTACTAGGCAACAACAATCAAATTCCTCGGAATAATATAACCGCGCGGTCGCGCCGCGCTGCCGCCGCGTAGACCAAAGCAAGCCAGCCTCGCCCGCGAGCCCTTGACGTAGTTAAAACGTAACAGCTAAATAAATAGAGCGTATTTTGCTATGACAGTTTGACGCACGTGGTCGCCGCGCGGCGGCCACATTCGTGTCGAATAAATGCGCCCT